TTGGGTCAATCATTTAGTTTTGAGCTATGTGCTTGCTATAGTTTTTTGACATCAAACTTATTTGCACCAATCTATCAACGTATGCTAACATAAAAGAATAATACAAAGTCTAGCGTCCAATCCGTAGATGCAGACACTCGGCAACTTTTTTTAGGCTAGGGTTGAGACATCGGTAGCTTAGATGCACGTGAGTTTATTCTTCTCTCAACAAAAAAAAAAGATGCACGTATTGCTCTACTCTCTCCTTTTGGCTCTGTACATCGTATCGTTGTTACCTTCAAACGAAATTTGAAATTATTTTTTTATTCATAACATATATGTAGGTAGTACGTGGAGACATATTGTACAAAGTTGATGATAACGCTGTCATGACTTTGATCTGTTGGGAGTCCCGGCATCTTGAGCTTTGCATTGGATGTGTTGCTATCCCGCCTTCGATTCACCGGCCCACGTGCCTCCAACGTTGCCACGTATAGATTAGTTGTTGCCATGCGTAAGATCTCGAGGACGTGTGGCGATGCAGTATTCACTGATGTACCTCCGACATTGCCGCGTATAGATGTGTTGCTGTTGCGCCTTTGATCTCCGGGATGTGCGCTGGTGGCGTTGAGTGTTCGACTTTTCGCCAATGTGCATCCGACATTGCCGCGTCTAGATTTGTTGTTGTTATGCCTGCAATCGACGTGTGGCGGCGGCCTCAAGTGTTCGCCGATGTGCTTCCGATATTGCCGTGTACAGATATGTTGTTGTTATATGCGTTCAATCTTCTCCGGGACGTGCCACGGCGGCCTGGAGTGTTCGCCGGGCTGAGGTGTGCAGTTCTCAGCTTACACGTTTGTATTCTTGCTGGAAATCAAGTTGTTTGTGTGTTTTAATAAGAAATACATCAGGTTAGTTGTGCGTGTTCCAGTTAGAAATCAATCAGGCCTCCTTCCTTATTGGACGTATTCTTTACGGAGATCAGTCAATCGTACTATGTTTGACGGGTCGTCTGTTTTGGTCTGGTACATGTACGTCTGTTTTGGTCTTGTACATGTACGTGTAATGCGCGTGGTTCAAACATCTATGCTTTAATTTTCAAAAAAAAACATATATGCTGTAAATCTCCACCGTTGTTTTTTCTTAACTTTAGAACGATTAATCTTAACCGTTCGTTTTCTATCGTTTTAATTATATAATAGATAGATGTCTGATGTCGAGCAAGAACTGCATCACACCTCCACTCACCATTTTTCTCCTTGA